ATGCGAGCAGTACTGCCCATATTGCGAAGATATTAAATTTGACGTGCTAGGGTTGCATCGCTCAGCCTGAGCGATGCAACCCTAGCACTGAGCCTCAGGCGCTATTATAAGGCTTGCTTCCGCGACGGGCATTTTCCGGTGGTCCACGTCGTCTCACTGCACAGCTGCTGCTGCAGGTGTCCGTGTGATTAATGCTCTCGACTTGAGCGTTGAGGAATCAGCTGGCCACATCTAGCCTTTGGTTTTTCAAGAAGCAATATCTTTTAAAGAAATGGCAGTCGCGCCAGTACTTGCGGTTTCATGATCTCGTTCGGACAGCGAGGGCTATGAAGTCGGCAAGTTCCTTCCGAGTCGCATCCGTGAGCGGCTGAAATGGGTCGCGTTTTTTAGGGAGGTGACAGGGGGTGGAAGACTCTCTACCAGCAACGCAACCCAACATCGCAGTATCGACCATCAGCTTGAAAATGAATTTGAACTTGGATATCGCGCTTCGCCTGGGCCGCATTTATGAGTGCAGGGAGAGAGGAGACATGGTCTTTGTTCGCCACCCTGGTGAGAACATATACTTTGACCACGGAGAATCGCCTTTAGCCGAAGCACCCTACGCTCGTCCTAATACATGTATCCCTATACTCATTTAATACCTCGAGTGAGGGGTACTCAAATGAACCCTTAGGTAGTAATCCCTACTACCGCTGACAGGAATATAAAATCGCTCTAGCTGGCTCAGATAATATTACTCTCCCTCGGAATATAGAATCCAAAATTACCAAAAATGATCGCTCTGACGTGTTTAATTATGGAAATGTTACTATTGTGCAGCACGTCCAAAGTAGACAAGCAAGGACAGTTGCTGCTTGCACCCTTCCAGCTTAGCTCGTCTCGCAGCTATCTCTGCATCGCTCTAAGCCCCTGTATACTCATTTTTGACACGCCCATTAAACTTGCTCGGACAATCAGCTTTGTTGAGATGTTCTTACATCATCATTCCCTGCTTCGCCTCCACTATCCTCACAGGCACCCATCGACTTATCACTCACGAAAACGTCCACTTTGATTCCGCAGAACTCTTCATTAGGAAGTCGTCGTACACGCTCTCATCTGGTGGATTCAGCAGTTCCGTCACCGACGAAGGATCGGACGCGACAGCATTGTAGCTGGCTCGTCAATTACGGAGTCTTCCTCCTTTGGCCACTGTATCCACACGCATAGTAATCGAGTAGACCAGCATCTTACAAATATTGAATGTGGCATGGAGTTCCGAACGCCAACGTATTAATAAATGTACCATACCAAAATTTATCGGACCGGATGACCTTATCGGACCTGTACCAAAACTAGGGTACGCTATTTGACAACCCTCAAAACCAATTTATTAGTTTATGGATTAGATATTGTGGCCCACACACTAAACACTATTATTTTGCAGAAGGCGGGGAGGGAGACGGCGAGGGGCGATGACGGCGTCGGCACGTGTGACAGGAGGGTGGCGACGACGGCATGCAGCAGGAGGGTGGCGGCGGCGACAAGAATGGCGGCAGCAAGGATAGGAAGGAGCTCAAAGACGGAAGAAGCGAAGGGGATATCAGCAGCGGGCGAAGCGTCAAGGGCTGCGATGTCTTACCCGGCAGGGCGGGCGGCAGGCTGCCCGTTGGGTGCGTGCCTTCATGTGGCACTTCGAAGGGCGGACTCCGGTGGTTTCGTCAGGCCACCTAGCTACCGCTGGTCGTGTCGATGTAGAGCTAGATGCTAATAGTAGTTGTGTGTGGCTAGCGAGCGTTAAATAATGTAAACTATATCCGAGTAATTGACGTAAATTATCAACGTCTATTTAAAAACGGGTACAATAATAGGAATATGCAGTGTAGAAGCTACAACTGTAGCTACTGCATCTCGCCATCACAGAGGCTCTTAATCATGTCGCCATTTAAGCGCTTTCACGACATTGCTACGGTATAAATACAACAAAATTTAGAAGCGCTTATGGAGTCAATTGTACTGAATTGATTACGCCGGTCGGATAAAATGAAAATATGCGTGTGATACGCCGACATCATAATATTTGTAAAGGGATACAAATATTTTCCGTGCCCCTCGGACCTAATACGTCCGATGTGGAGTTTAGATGACCAACCTAACCCTTGGCAGATTGATTGGCCAAGACTGACACATTATTTGGATATGATTGGTTATCCAAAGCAAATAAATATATGATTGGCCATTAAAACTGATAATACGCCTTAGTGAGGTCCGATAAGTGATGATATTCATCCATGGGAATTGTGTTTTCCACACCAGTTTTTTAGTACCGGTATACCGAAACGGTACCGGTATACACTGCTCCTGCTTGTTGCTGACCACACGTGGCGAGCTCTCTCACTTCGTATTTGGAAGAACAAGCAGCAAGCAGTCAAGAAATACCCGCCTCTCCTCGTCCCTTTTCGGATCGAGCTGATGGTCATTGCATAAGCTCTCATTAATGTATTTGCTCGTTTGACCCCCAAGGATTGTGGAAAGGTGTATTCCATACCAAAATTTATCGGACCGGATGACCTTATCGGACCTGTACCAAAACTAGGGTACGCTATTTGAAAACCCTCAAAACCAATTTATTAGTTTATGGATTAGATATTGTGGCCCACACACTAAACACTATTATTTTGCAGAAGGCGGGGAGGGAGACGGCGAGGGGCGATGACGGCGTCGGCACGTGTGACAGGAGGGTGGCGACGACGGCATGCAGCAGGAGGGTGGCGGCGGCGACAAGAATGGCGGCAGCAAGGATAGGAAGGAGCTCAAAGACGGAAGAAGCGAAGGGGATATCAGCAGCGGGCGAAGCGTCAAGGGCTGCGATGTCTTACCCGGCAGGGCGGGCGGCAGGCTGCCCGTTGGGTGCGTGCCTTCATGTGGCACTTCGAAGGGCGGACTCCGGTGGTTTCGTCAGGCCACCTAGCTACCGCTGGTCGTGTCGATGTAGAGCTAGATGCTAATAGTAGTTGTGTGTGGCTAGCGAGCGTTAAATAATGTAAACTATATCCGAGTAATTGACGTTAATTATCAACGTCTATTTAAAAACGGGTACAATAATACGAATGTGCAGTGTAGAAGCTACAACTGTAGCTACTGCATCTCGCCATCACAGAGGCTCTTAATCATGTCGCCATTTAAGCGCTTTCACGACATTGCTACGGTATAAATACAACAAAATTTAGAAGCGCTTATGGAGTCAATTGTACTGAATTGATTACGCCGGTCGGATAAAATGAAAATATGCGTGTGATACGCCGACATCATAATATTGTAAAGGGATACAAATATTTT